AAAAAATTATATATATATATATATATATATATATATATATATATATATATATATATATATATATATATATATCATAGCACAATCATAATCCACTACATATAAATATTTTTATACCCTATTTTCTCTAATTCTTCCTTGCTTCATTTATGGCTTAATTCCACTTTGCACCCCAGAAATATACCATTTTGGCGCGTAGCACCCTCCAATCATAATAAACGCACTTTGCACCCTCAAAACACAATAAATCATTCACTATGCACCCTCAGTTGAATAATAAAGGCAATTTTATTTTTCATTGGTGTTTTTCTTTTTGGGGTACAAAATAAAAAAAATTGTTGTTTTCTTGAACCTCAAACCTAATTTCGAGCGGACAAAGTGCGAAAAAATAAAAATTACACCGGATTATTTTAAAAAAACTACATTATCTTACAAAAGAAAAATAAAAAAAAAAATCTTTTATCACTAAATTATTCGATTGTGGATCTTTTATGTCACTGTTTGTAAAATATTAGGTGAAAATATTTAGAAGAAAAAAGAATTTTCAGATAACTTGATAACGTAATAGCTGAATGATTTTTTTTCGTAAAGTATTTTATTTTGATAAAACAATATAATTTTTAAATATGTTGATGGAATGTATTTTTATTTTTGAACTTTATAGTTTCAAAATGATTGATGAATAAAAAAAATATTTGACATTTGGCATCCTAAAAAAATATCACTAAAAATATTAAATTTATATTTTTTAGCTTTAAAAAATCATTTGGGGTGCATTATGCATGATTTATTGTATTTCGAGGGTGCAAAGTGCTATTAATTTATTTCGAGGGTGCAAAGTGCCAAAATGGTATATTTCAAGGGTGCAAAGTGGAATTAAGCCCTTCATTTATTCAATGATTAGTTAAATATCGTGACAATCAAGTGATACATATTTTTCCCCGGATTTGTTTGTATCATTAGATTTGTATAAATATTGATGTTATTATCAATATTACTAATAAATTTTTACTATACCTGTTAATATCATGTATTAAATTAATCATTATTTATACTTGTCAAATGTTATATGTGCATTGCATAGGAAAAAAATGTTAGTAACTTATATCCCACAAGAATACCTATAATTTGACCGATTATACCCATATAGTTGATTGCAGACTTATTTAACAATGAAACAAACAGAATTATAAAGTAATAAGAATAAATTAAAACCACCTAACCACTTCTTTAAAGTAAAGTGTATTAAAAAAAATCTCTTTTTTTTTAGAAATTACATAGTGTGTAATTTTTTACATTCACCCCTTAGAAAAGGGTGCTGTTATAAAAAATCTACAAATTGCATGGGTAAACATAATTATTAAAAAAAATAAGGATCTCAAAGAGTGGTTACAATTTAACGAAGTAATAATAAGGATGATGATGATAGTGATAGCACTAGGAAAACTAAATATACATGGGGCCATGGCCACCAAATGATGTTCGAGACCTCTATTTATATAATAAACGGGACAGTACTATACCTATATAATAAGGGGACCCAACAATAAATTGAAGGGTAATTTTTTTTGGGGCGATTGGCTAGATGCCTCTTATTTTTTACTTATATATATAACAATCTAAGTTATCAGATGAATATAGGTGTAAATATATTGAACAAAAAAAAAATATATACTAAATAAATTAAAGAAATTATTAGTGTGAACCCTTAATACATTAGAATATTCTATGATGGATCCAAACAGGCTACGAGTGAAAAGCCGACCCTGCTTAATTATTTAGTTAATAATTATTCGATGTTTTACCTATATTATTTATAATTGACCCATAAAATTCTAGCCACATCTTTTTTACCCAACAGTCGTTGTCTCGTCGAGTATTATCTCCATTCTCTTCTTCTCTAACTAGAAATCAGGCAGCACCGGAGGCGGCGGCAAGGACGGGAATAAGGCGGCACCACATCTCGACAACGATGAGGGAAGACCCCCACGACCGCATTGTCGCCGCCATTCCTTCATTGCACCTTCGCCTGACTTCACTCCTCCATTTTCGGCGGTCAACGCCGGTCTCCGGCGTTGACTTTTTTTTTTCTTTTTT